AATAAACCGATGAAAAAAAAATACAAAAAAAGCTGTGCCTCAGCACATCACTATTAAATTGTTGAAAACTATAAATAAATTAAAAAGGAGCAGATCTTGAAATTAGCAGATAAAAAATGATATATTTTATAAACTACATAAATGAGACTGATTTGATTAATAACTTACTTATTAGCAGTATATGCACTAAAACATAAATAATGTGGGCTGTGAACCTATATATTTATAGGTTTTATATATTTTACATGAAAAGATACAATGCATATTTTAATCCATAACTTAAATAATAAAATATTATAAAATAAACCAAGTTTTAAAAGTTGATAGAAAATTAAAATTATATTCTAAAGGAAATGTCAAATAACAAAAGAGAAAGAGAACAGCACCAGAACAGAAAGGGGAGGCAGGATAGAAAACAAATAATACAAGAGTGGAGCTGCACCCGAGCAACTTTATTACATGGTTATTGGTAAAACACTTTAATTAGAATGTAAGATTGTCAGAATGGATTAGAAAATAGCACATACACACACGAAAGGGAAGATTTAAATACGTGCTACTTATAAGAATGCTACTTTAAATATCAAGACACAAACTACTTAAATTTATGAACATAAAAAGTTATACTATGCAAACAGTAATCATAAGAAGGCTGAAGTCACTCTATTCATATCAGATTAAGTCGATTTTAAAGCAAAATATATTTTTGGAGATGGGGATCATTTTATATTGATGAAAAGGTTAAATTGTCAGGGAAAACATAATAATCATAAACATGTAAGTAACTAATCACAGAGCTTCAAATACAGGAATTAAAACTTAAAGAAACAATGGGAGACATTACTTAATTCCACAGTCCTAGGGGGATATTTTAACATCTTTCAGCAATCGAAAGAACTAAAAGAAAAATAAGAAGACTTAGTATATTTGAATAGTGCTACCACCTACCTTGATTTAATGTCTCTTTCTTCTTGGTTTCAATGATACTCGCATTTATAAATAATAACCTACATATATTTCTTTCTATTTTTCTGAGACAGGGTCTTTTTCTGTCACACAGGTTGGTGTGCAATCATAGCTCACTTTAGCCTCAAAATCCTGGGCTCATGCAATCATCCCACCTCAGACCTCAGGCTCTCAAGTAGATAGTACTATAGGAATAAAACCCCATGCTTGACTAATTTGTTTTACTTGCATTTTTTTGTAGAGATGAGCTTTTTTTCTCTTTCCTTTATCAGTCGTGCTCTGTCACTCAGGCTAGAATGCAGTGTCATGATCTCAGCTCACTGGAACCTCTGCCTCCCAGGTTAAAACAGTTCTCTTGCCTCACTCTCCTGAATAGCTGGAATCACAGATGCATGCCACCATGCCCAGGTAATTTTTGTATTTTTAGTAGAAACAGGTTTTTGCTATACTGGCCAGACTGATGTTGAACTCCTGACTTCAGGCAATCAGCCCATGTTGGCCTCCCAAAATGCTGGGATTGCAGGTGTGAGCTACCACGGCTGGCTGAGATGAGCTTTTAAAAAATGACCTCATGGTGTTTCATAACAATTTCTTAATAAATATAAAATAACTAGAATTATGGGGAAATTATATTCTGACCAAAATGTATAAGAAATTGGTATCAAAAAATACTAGAAAAGCTCCAAATATTGGCGCAAAATGACACGCTTCTACATATTCCATTGGAAAAAGAGGAAATCACAAGGTAGCTTTGAGTTACATGATAATAAAAAAAAACTGAACAAATAAATATTTTGAGGGTGCAGCTAAATTTTCTATTTGAAAAGAAAATATATAATTTAAGTTAATAAGTTATTAAAAAGAAAGGTCTAAGAAATTCAATAATCTGAGATCCAACCTTAAGAATTTGAAAGAGAATAAATTAAACCCAAAGTAAGTATAGGGAAAAAGATAAAATACAAAAGGGCAAGAAGTTAATGAAATATAAATCAGAAAAATAATAATATAAAAATCAATAACCAATAACTAAATGAATTGGTAAATCTTGAGAAAGACTGATCACAAATTAAAGATGTGGCTCTGTGGCACAATGGGTGGCACACTGGACTTCTAAAATAGATATACAGATGAATGGAGCAGGTTAGAGCACCCAGAAACAAAGCTGCAAACCTACAACCATCTGTTCTTTGGCAAAGTCAACAATAGCAAGCAATGAAGAAGGGATTCTCTATTCAATAAATAGTGCTGGGATAACTGGTTAGTCATATGCAACAGACTGAAATTGAACTCCTTCATTTAACCATACATAAAAATTAACTCTATGGGTTAAAGACTCAAATATAAAACCTAAAACTATTAAAAACATTAGAAGGAAACCTATGAAATACCGCTCTGGGCATAGGCTCTGGCAAAGGTTTCATGACAAAGTCTCCAAAAGCAACTGCAACAAAAACAGAAATTGACCAGTGGGATGTGATTAAACTAAAGAGCTACTGCACAGCAAAATAAACTATGAAGGGAGTATACAGACAACCTACATAATAGGAGAAAATAGTAACAAACTGTGCATTCAACAAAGGTTTAACATCTAGACTCTACTAGAAAATTAAACAATTCAACAAGCAGAAAACAACGCCATTAAAAACCGGCAACAAGACATACATAGAGCCAACAAGCATATGAAAAAAGATTCAACATCACCAGTCATTAGAGAAAGGCAAATCAAAATAAGATACCATCACAGACAAGTCAGAATGGCTATTATTAAAAAGTCAAAAACAACCATCCTGGTCAACATGGTGAAACCCCGTCTCTACTAAAAAATATACAAAAAATTAGCTGGGAATGGTGGCGCGCGCCTGTAATCCCAGCTACTTGGGAGGCTGAGGCAGGAGAATTGCCTGAACCTGGGAGGCGGCGGTTGCGGTGAGCAGAGATCGCACCTTTGCACTCCAGCCTGGGTAACAAGAGCGAAACTCCGTCTCAAAAAAAAAAAAAAAAAAAAGTCAAAAACAATAGATGTGTTAGGAATTGCAGAGGAAAGGGAATGCTTGTACACTGCTGATGGGAATGTAAATTAGTTCAGCCACTGAGGAAAGTAATTTGGAGATTTCTCAAAAAACATGAAACAGAATTTTATTAGAGTGTATGCCCAAAGAAATATCAATTATTCTGCCACAAAGACACATGCACATTACATGTTCATTGCAGCACAATTTACAATAGCAAAAACATGGAATCAACCTAGATAAGCATCTAGGTTGCCCATCAATAGTAGACTGGATAAAGAAAATGTGGTACATATATACCAAAGAATACTACACAGTCATTTAAAAAATGGATTTATGTCCTTTGCAGCAGCAGAGATGCAGTGGAGGCCATTATCCTAAGTGAATTAACTCAGAAACAGAAAACCAAATCCTGTATGTTCTCCCTTGTAACTGGATGCTAAACCTTGAGTACACACGGACACAAAGAAGGGAACAATAGACACTGGGACCTACTTAAGGGTGGAGAGTGGGAGGAGGATACAGATTGAAAAACTATTGGGTACTACATTCACTACCTGGGTCACAAAATAATTTGTGCACCAAACCCTGCAACACAGAATTTATTCATGTAACCAAACTGTATATGTACCCTCTGAAACTAAAATAATTGGAAGGAAAAAGCAAATATAAAAATAAATTTTAAAAATGAAATAAAACTCAAAAAAAAATAAAATAAGTAAAAGAAGAAACATTACCAATATCAGAAAAAATGAGGTTTTGCTTATGTTTTCATTTCGTGCCATAATAATTTAAAGACCATCTGATGAAGAGTGGTTTCCATATATTCTGCAAACATTAGTTTTTGCAGAAAGGTCTATTCAACAACATGTAGCATGATTTAAAAAACAAATTCCTCCTTGATTTAGTACAGAAATAAGTTTGATGACTAGAAAAATATGTTTAATTTAAACTAGAAATTAAATAACATTTACGGACAGTGCTTTGCCAGCTAAAAGCATAAATATAGATATGTGTCTAATATGTTTTAAATGTTGTTGTCATTTTTTCTCATATGTTACGATATTTACCCTGGCTGCAAGAAAGCTTAAAATAAATATTAACCTTCAGTTTTAATAAAAATATAGTTCTAATTTAATGACACATAATTCTTCCACATTATTTTATATGCACTTAATATTTGTCAAATATGTGGTTTACTATTTTAAAACAATGTCAATATTTTTAAGGCAAGTAAGCTGCAAACAATGACAACAAAATAGTTTGTAAAAGTTTGTTTCTGGGATTTCCAATCTGTTTGTTTGTTTTTAATTATTAAATTAAAATGATTTATTATTTTAATTATTTGGTTGCATTCTTAAAAATCAGCATTCTTTTTTTAGGTCAATTTCCCAAAACAGGCATTTGGCAGCACTGCTTTTCCTAAGATCTATTATAAATTCCAATGGCTGCTAAAAGTGACAGTATACATTAGCAGACTCTCATGACACTGTATACCAAAAATGTCTAGGTCCACATACACCTCCACAAACAAAACCTTCCCCTCACATGTATGCACACACATGTAATTTTAATCAAATGGATCATTGAAAGTACAGACTTTCAAATTTGGAAAGCACACATATCTTTTTCAAATACTTTTTTCAATTATGTTATATACATGTATTATATAAGTAACAGATAAATCTATTTTATGAACTCTAAAAGCAAGAGGAAAACAAATACTAGCTATGCCCATGCTGTGATATAAGATCACTGGTTTCTGAGTAAAATATGTGAAGAAATGTATGTGATTTCTCTTTTAGATAAAGTCTGGAAATAAAGGTTGATACGAGCATAAAGTATTGTAATATAGAATAATTACCTTGAACATATAATTAATACATGTCACATACATATTTTGATATATGTAAAGATTACTTCAAAGTTAATTGATGTACATGGGTCATTTTCTTTTTTTTGAGTTGAAAATTAATCATGTATTTTATATAGCGGAATTTAAAAATCTAAAAGCACAGGACACACTTTCAGAAGAGGAAATTTACTTTTACTCACTTATGGTAATATTTGCAATATCAGAACATAATTAGGTTAAATAAATCAAATAAGGAATCCAGAAAAAACTGTTCTTGAGTTAAGCCAAGTACACACTGGCAATTCTGAGAAAGGAGAACACACACTAACAAAAAGAACATGCTAGCTCAAATGCAAGTTTATATGGTGAGTGTTTTTAAAGGATTTAAAAAGCATGCTCCATCAGCATAATAGCCTTTTCTCATTTATGTAACAGATGCATTTCTGTCTGCTTGTGTACAGCAAAGGGTTAGAACCTGAATAAACTTATTTATGATTTCAGAAATGTGCTATTTTAGAAATGTACTCCATAGAATTTACTTCACTGCTCCTACCACTGATTCTTCAAATAAGCAAAGTACAGAAGGTCTTATCCCTTGAAAATGTTTTTAAACACTAGCATTTTAAGTTGAAACATTGGTAGAAATGTAGCAATGTGAGGTACAATGCCTATACTTAGTCTTATTTAAAATAAGAATTGAATGCACAACAGAAAATTTGCCATTTTCTTTATCATTGGAGGGAAGGGAAAGCAAGCAAGCAGAGGTGGGGGTATTGTTACACTATTTAAGGAAGAGCTGAATACAAAGACAATGAGTCTTTCATAGTCTCAAAATTCCACAATGAATAACTGTGGATTATCTCATGTATAATTTACATTGGATCAAAAACATGGGTTCCCCTCTGTGTATATCAGTTTAATTCAAACCTTATTATCTTCAAAATACAAAGATGAATACTACAAGATAAACTCTAACTGCAATAGGTATTTTCTAAGTAGAAGACCAAACACCAAAGGGAATCCCTCTTTCCATCTTTTGATATGGCAAGATTTTGCCAGAGTGGAACTTAAATAAGCATTCTCATGGCCAAGTAAGACACTACAGTTGGTGTGGGTATTACCCTACAATTACCATATGTATTACATATTAAATTAAACTCAGCATTAAATATGCTTGCATAATTATGCTCTTAATGATAATAGCAGTGATGATACTGGTGGAAAAAGCCAGTCTTTAGCCAAAGAAAAGTCAGGGAGAAAAACCTTAGCATGCAGAAAGCAGACACAGAGTTGGGCATTTTTTGACTAGAAAAGAGAATTTTAAGCATAGAAATATAAAAAGAAAAGTACTCCCTTATTTCCCCTATGTGGAAATAATATGATACATTTATTAGATATACTAGACAAGAACAGAACCAAGTACCCCAACTCTACTGCAGCATTACAAAAAAAATCATCCCTTCACCACAGTGTAAGATTCAAGGACAACCTGCCCAAGGATGCACATTATATAAAACACAGCAAGATTGCTACTGCCCTGCCAAGTACTTCCAGTCTCTACCCAGGTCCTACTGAAATACTGGTGGTCCCAATTAGTTTTATTGAAATAAATCTTTAAAGAAAAAGATGAAGCATTTAAAAAGACAAGTCACAATGCTTCAGGAACCACATATCCAACACAAACTTTATCCTCAAATGAGTTATGTTTGCCTTGCACTAATAAACTTTTATTTCACTCAAATTAGAGTAAAAATCTTCTATATATTAAGTATCTTCCCTGCCCAATAATTCAAAGAAAAAAAATCCAAAATGATTAGTAAAGAAAAATATAAGAATTAACAAACCCTTTAAATTTGTTTTAAATATTTTTAAAGTTAAAAAGTGTTTAAAGTTTGTAATTCCTAGTAGGAAAACATTATCTGAATGAATACCCTAATGGCAAACCACTGTAAAATGCTTCAGCAGCATTTGGGGGAGAGGAGTAGGGATTATCTTCAAAGCACTCCAGCTCTCTTGATGAGAAGGTACACTGGTTTGTATTATTGCGACATCCATAAGGTGATCTAGGTTGCTTTTCCTTCAGCAAGGCTTTATTTATCAGAAAGGCATTATGCTTGATCTCCAAATTTGGCTGACAATTTGCTGATAAGAGTAACCTTTGGGTTGACATATTTGCTGGGTTCTGAGCCACATCCTGGAAGGCCACCATATCTTCTGGATCCTGCATGGCTGCAAGAACCTCTGGATCACTAAGAATTTCATTGAGTCCAGGCATTCTGGCCATTCCAGGCATGCCCTCTCCCATTCCAGGCATTCCTCCAGGAAAACCATCAGGCATTCCCCCAGGAAAGCCACCTGGAAAAAAGCCATACTGAGCTTCAGACTGTCATCTGGCTTCTTCCTCCCTCTGGGCTCTCTCATGCTCTCCTCGAGCCTTCTTAACTCTTTCTATTCTTTCTTTGATCTCTCGCTCTTCACATTTATGCTCATACTTTCTCCGATGTTCTGCAATTTTCTGTGCCCTAGGTTGAACTTCTTTCAGCATTGCACTCGCATCTTCATCATAATCCAATTTACAGGCAAGGGCAAGATCATGGGCTGCTTCTTCCCAGTGGCCTAGAAGTCTGTGTGCTTTCCCTCGCCACTTGTAAGGCTGAGCTGAATCAGGATTTATTTCAATGGCTCTGTCAGTCTTGGATGGCAGCATTTGGCTTCTGTAATCTGATGAAGACATTGGCCCTCTTGGCATACAAAATGGCCAAGTGGGGATTCAGCTTGATGGCATCTGTGAATAAGTCAATGGCTTTCTGCAATTCACCATCATTTAGGGCTTCAGTAGCAGCCACTTTCTTATCATTTGCCTGATCCATCATCTCTTCTGTTATCTCCACATTTTCATCTCCCATTTCTTGAGGGGTGTCAGTGTCTGGTTCAATCACACCTTCATTATCAGTTTCTAGATCACTTTCTTCACTTGATGGTTCGTCTGCCTTTAAGTCTTCCTCTACCTTCTTACTATCAGGTTTTTTTTCCTTGGTATTTTCTTCTGATTTAGCTTTCTGAGTAACAGGTGGTATTTTACCCCCCATACTCTCCACCCACTCCCTCAGAAAGCGCATTTCCTCAGTGTGCAGAATGCTTGGATTCTGCTTACACATCTTCACAAAGGTCAGAAGCTCATTCACTTTGTGGGGTCCAGGGTCGGGAGGTGGTGGACGAAGCTGAGAGTCTGTGGCCCACTTCCAGGCCGAGGCGCTGGCTTGGCATGATGATGCAAAAGGGGCTCATGGTTCATTTTTTAAAATTAACCAGTACCTATTCATTTATATGGCATCACTAAGTTTATAGAGTCTACACTGATGGAAAAGGAATATGCACACTTGTACACATACACACAACTTGTTTGGATTATGTTTTTTCTATTAATTAGGGTGGAGTGACCATATTCTATGCATTATTTAAATAGTTGATTTAAATATTCTCACATCTTCTTACATCATAATCAGCTATTATTTTCAATCATTCTTTTTTACATGTAAAACAAGTAATGAGCAGAGGAAATACATTTTTCTCTAAAATTGCATTGAACATAATTTGATATTTTATTAGCTATACAGAATTTATAATAATTATGAGCCATGGAATTATCATTAACACTTGTCATTCCACTGATGAGAACTGAAATGGTAGAAAATGGTGCTCTAATGAAAAAAGGCCAACGAAATTTGCTTTTACATGTACAAGGATACAGAAGTATTTGCTAGTGCCAATCATCAATTCATGTTCTTCAGAAGAAGATGAATTGATGATTGGCACTAGCAAATACATTCAAGATTAAGTACATAGATTTCTTGGATGATGAATACTATGAAATTGTGGCAGCGTCCTCTGTGTGTAGGTGGTCATGATATTCATGTACCCATATGGAGAGGTTCTAGGTTGACATAGTATTTCATCTTCTTTTGTGTGGCTTGTCATAGAATGTTTTAAAAATGCTCAGAGAACTCTATTATCACTGTAGACGCTAATCATTCATTCTGTCATAGATATTACATTGAAGATTGGTTGATAGAGTCATTTAGTTGGTGAATCTTTAATTTCTGAGTTCCCATAGCAGATACACTGCTTTGAATATGAAATGTTGTTATCTTGGCCAAGTTGAATTGACAAGAGCTGAAAAGTAAATCCAGAGGTATATACAGGAATCTTCATGTAATACCATATTTCAGCACTTAAAAAATTACCTTGCTATCTTCAAGGATCTCCACATAAAGTCAACAGGAGAATTAAAATATTTTCTCTAAAACTCAGGAGGAAATTTGCCCTTCTTAAATTCATAAAGTGAAACTGAGAAAGTCCAGGTCTCCTGGACAAATATCCTAATCCTACCCTTGAACTGGCATCTTTACAAGAGGATTTTTGTTAAGAGTTCAAGTGAGGCTGGGAAAGAGAACGGTTGCCAGCCACTGCTCTCTAGGAAGCCCCACTAAGATCATGGGAAAACAAAACCATTTCCAAAGATCACAGACTTTGAATTAAGAGAACCCAAAGAAAAACACAGAGTGGTGTGAAAGTTATGAACTGAGATGGCTCCACTGGCTTCATTTGGGTAGTGTGAGCTTGTCTGAGTGGCACATTCTACCCGCACAGACCAAACACCTTATTCCCCATTAACAAGTATAGTCATGTGGGTTTCTAACACAGTTGGCTTTTTCAGCTATGTGTTAACCACTCTTTAAACAGCAAAGTAGGAGGGCAGAGGAAAACTTTGAGAGTGAGAAATTCTCATGAGATGTCAACTTGTAGAACGCAATTAATGACACAAATCAAACTGTTTTTTTTTTAATTATTGATGTTGATTTGAGCCTGACCCTACAAATTTCAGTCATTTTATAAACACATTCCTCTAGATTTGACCTCAGTATCCCTGTGGGGTAGAAACTACTAGATGGAATTTCTAATTAAAAAAATAGGGCTCCCAGCAATTTAACTCCAAGTTCCCTCATCATTTACCCTCAAGCTCTCTTTCTTATAAGTGGCCTATAGTCTTTTATTCACACTGACAACTTGTGCTTGACAGCACCCATGAAAAAATGACAGCTTTCCTCCAAAAGCAACACACTGCATACTGAAGTTACTTCAACACCTTGAAATTTACTTTACATACTGAAAGCTTTCATATGTGGTGATTAATACAAATCACAAAGGACCTATTTATAAAAAGATTCCTTGAGCACTTGGGGGATAGTGGCTAAAGCAATTTTCTTTTGCTTTGGGGCAAAACTGAGGAGAATTTCGACTTCATAGCTTTCTAGAACCTTCTTGAATTTACACAGGTGTGGTGCTCACACATGTTTGATACACATTTCTTTGCCTCTGTCTGATTTCTCTTTGTCTCTTCTTTTCTCTTGCAGTCAGCCTCTGTCTGTATCCCTTTCTCATACTCCAGCTCCCTCTTTTTAAAGCTGTTTTAACGTTGATGGTAAATGAAACACACACTGGAAACTATACAATCGTTGATCAATTTTCAGATTCCAGATTGTTCTCACCAGGATGACTGACATTAAAATGGCTTCATTATGTCTATTAACAGGTTGGTCCATCCAGTCTTTCTCTGGCTTGCCACAGGTAGCTAATATACGGAACTTAAAATGGTATTTTACAATGCTACCTTTGCAATTTGTTTTGGTTCTTGAACAGAGCCAGAGGAATACAGGAGCCCCCTTTTATCTGTGGGAGAAAGGTTTCAAGATTCCTTGTGTAAGCCTGAAACAGCAGGTATTGCCAAACCCTACATATACTCCTGTTCCTTTTTTTAAGTATGTACATATCTATGATAAAGTTTAATTTATAAATTGGGCACAGTAAGAAGTTAGCATCAATAACTAATAATCAAACAGAATAATTATAACAATAAGACCACATTACTATTCTTGCACTTTTTATTTAGTAAGTGTTACTTGAACACAAGCAGTGCAATACTGTGACAGTCAATCTGATAACTGAGATGTTTACTAAGTGAGTAAGTACCAGGAAGCATAGACAGCTTGAATCCACTGGACAAAGGAGTGATTCAAGACAGGTGGGATGGAGCAGGACAGCATGAGATTTCATCACATTACTCACAATGCTGTGCAGTATAAAACTTATGCATTGTTTGTTTCTGGAATTTCCCATTAAATATTTTTGAACTGTAATTGACTATGGGTAACTGAAACCACAGAAAGTAAAATCGTAAATAAGGAATGACAATTGTATTAGATATCTAAATCACAACTCTGAATTGTGGGATTCTCTCTCTCTCTCTTTCTGATATATTCATTACATAACTAAGGAAGTAACAGTAAGATACTTGGACAATTGATTTCATAAGTAAAATATTTTACTATTTGCATTTTCTTTGAATCACTCTGGAAAGTTATGTCAATGGTCATTTTGTTTTAGACAACCTGATCTATTTTTACATCCTCTTTTGTTAATATGTAAAACAGAACTTACTCCAAGTAATCAAAAATCAGAAAGAACAGCTCCCTTTGGTCTCTCCCAGGATACTTCCTCCAAATCCAAGGGCAAGGAAGCTATCTTTCGTGGGGTGTGTTCGTTAGATGATGTCACAGAGATAGGAAGTTAAGAAAATAGATGGTGCCATAGTTATGCGCAGGCTCTAAAAGTCAGTTAAAAGTACTCCAATCATTCCTGAGGGGTAGTGAAATGTTTAAAAGAGATTACAGTAATAAAACTGAGTAAGGCCCAATTTTTACTAATAGTTGACTCTTTTAGTTGGGTCTAATTTTTTTCCCCCATTTCTTTCTATTGCTGTTAAAATGATTTCTTTTAAAATCTATTCCTTCTGCTCTAGGCAGTTTGCACATTAAACACATAAAGAAGACTATGCCAGTCAGGGGCTGAAGTACACAGGCTATTTTATTAATAGAGAGTCCCAATTAAAATTTTTTTGTTTTAATCTGTTTAGCTGTTATTACAAATTAATTAATAAGGACTTATCTTTGCATATTTCAGGTATGTACTCAGCATTGATTTTCTTTCATAAATTGGTTTTCTTCATTTAGACTAAAATTCTAAAGCTCAGTCACAATTCAAGAAGTAACTTATGATTAAATAATATTTCAGCCATAGGTAAAAGGATTCTCAAATAGAAAGTCATATCAATTTTTAGATGATCTTTGGATAGAAGACTAGATATTTGGTATTGTTGAATACTGATTATCAATTATAAAATGACTTTGATTTAAAAAAAGAATGCACCCGAGTGAGCTTTGATTGTTTAGTACCTAAAGCAAAGTAGAAATGTTTACCTTTCACAGTGGAGACAGTCCAATAAAATCACCAAAGTTTTAAGGAATACTTAACTTATAAATTAACCAACCATATATATTCTAGAAATAGAACTTTCTAAACCTTTTGTATCTGGTATTTTGTGTATTTCTGGATTAGTATGAGCAGATTTGCCTTTAGGCCTCTTCCACACTAATCTTCCTTCCAAAAATAATCAAATCTGGAAAAACATCCTTTGGTACCTCACACAATTCTGGCTTTTTTCAGTGGAAATTCATGTGCAGCAGCTGAGAGATGAAAAATAGTGAATCAGTGTGGCATTACAATTATTTTTTGAATATTTTTCAATGCCACTAAAATACATATATTTGGGGGATGTGTGGAATTATTGAAAGTGAGAGAAATTCTCAGAGTTTTGATACTAATATTTAATAATATATCTCGTATGAACATCTCAATGTATCTTTTATATATATCTATATATTGTTTATATTAGACACTATGAAAAATTTTTATTGATTTTAAAAATATTATTTAGTTCAAATAATCTTTGCTTACTGATAATCTTTACAAACAGAATGTTAGAAGCAGATTACAGGATGTCTCAATTTTTTGAGGTTGTCATCATGTTTGATAAGTAAACACTATGACATAGATTGGCAAACACTACATTTAGAGGCTTACAATAGACCTAAGGAGGTACACACGTTTAAGGCAAGGAGTTCAAGGACCATCTTCCTACTTATCTCTGAAATAATTTGATTTAAGGCAATCAACACATCTGATAGAATCAGTTTATTCTACACCTAGAAAAATGTTCAACTCAAGGAAGAGATTAAGTCTAAGTTATATACTCACTAGACAAATGAGCATCCAACACAGTTCTAAATATTAAATAGAAAGTACAGACTGGCTTTGAATCAACCATATTTGGATTCTGGCCCTTATTTTAATCATTTTTTTATTTAAAGCTGCAGTTCTCTTCATGCATAAAATGAAGATAATTGTAGTCACCTCATAAAACTCTACTAAGGAACACATGAAATGTAGTTTTAAAAGTACTTTTGGAAATGTCAGGCAATTGATAATGCTCACGTAAAAACAACATAGTGTTCTTTTTCTTCCTCTTATCCAGGGATTGAGCAATGTCCCTGTACAGAACTCACTCTGAGGAATAAAAAATGTATAAATTATGTAAGAACGAGTAAGACGCAAGAATATAAAAATATGAATTGTGTTTAGTGTTCAGAAGGTGAGAACTTCTCTTACTGGAATGGAACAAACTATGAATACATGGAAGTGAGGGAAGATAGATTGGGGATGGTAATCCTTAGGCAGTCTTATATTACAGATTAATGAGTTTAGATAACATTTTTTAAGGAGTAGGAGACACTAAAGGCTTCTGAGCAAAGAAAATGACACAGTCGAAACTTATTTCAATTTGCCTGCATTGTATACTATTAAATGTAGAATAGCATACCAGATATGAAGTCTAAGCTAAAGAAACCCAGGGGCAAATAAAAATAAAAGTTTAAGTATAAGAAAAATTTCAAAGGCATAATCAACAGGGCTTACAAGAGTGATTACATGGGAAATGGCCAAGGTGTTTAACATTATTCTGAAATTATTACATGTATGTATGTTGGAGACCAGTTGACTTTGGAAGGAGATTATGAATTCTGGTTCTGACATGATAAATGGTTGAGGCACTTGTATGATATTAAAATGCAAGTATCCAGTTGAGAATGGGAAAGGCAGGACTGGGGCTGAAAAAAAAGGTTGAAAATAGAAATAGAAGTTTGAGTATCATTGAAATGTGGCTAAATTGTGTTATGTAGTTGCTAGAAAGATAACTTCTTCTCCTAATTGAGAATAGGCTTGGCCTCCTAACTTGTTTCAGGCAATGCAACTTGAGTTGAAGGAAGATGTCATTTTAGGGAAGTGCTTTGAGAGCCATGTTCTGCCTGGTCACAGCTCTTTTGCTCCTCCACATCAACCAGCAATATTCCCCATGGTATAGGTCTGAGGTGTAGAGTGTAAATAATTATATGGAACAGAGTTCCTGACCTCTCCTGCCCCACGTAACGCCACTCCCACCGTCGCAAGTGTCCACTGCTGTGGACACTTCCTGGCCAAGGACTGTGAGGGGAATAAAACTATGTTGTTACAGACAACTACAATACTGAATTGAGTTGTTTATCTCCACAGCATAACTTAGCATATTTTGATTGATACAAAGAGAAGGAATGATGAAGCCTGTGAGAGAGATGGTATCTAAAATGACAGTCAAGAGGTCAGAAGAAGATGGAGATTGAACCTTCAAAAGTAATTTCAGAGAATAGGTAGAAAAATAAAGCATTAGTGACCTGACTCAAAAAGCATAATTTTTTCAGGAATATTCACTTCACATAATAAAATATTATAGAAAAATAAAGAAGCATGTGGCCTGAGAATTGAGACATTTAGAAAATGCCCCTGAAGAAACGTCTAGCCTTTAATACTATTTTTTAGAAATGACTCTTAGTGTTTCTGCATCACTCTTGCACTGGAAAGATACTTTAAATTGCCAGCATTAGCAAAAATGAAAAATATCTGACATTGTCAATACATGAAATTAGTCCCTTCTCAAGAGGCTTTAAATTCTACCCATTGATCAGAAATGGTTACCAGAAAAATCTGCTTGGACCTCATTAACTTGTAATTTTCCATTTTATCATTACTACCATCACCCAAGAACGTTTATTTTTCATTAAATCAGATACATAAAATGTATTTCTGCATTTTTCTACAATTTTAAATATCATGATAGTCATTGTCTAATAAAATATTGTGTAATACATTGATGCATAAAATCTTCTATAATGATCCAAGTGATACATTTCTAGACCTTTCATTTCTTGGAAAATAAATTAGAGTGTCCCTAAAAACTGGGAAATGAGGAAAATAAAAATACTCTTTAGAGTTTAAACTAGAAGATCAAAACATAAAACATACTGAAAATGATATGCAGATTTACTTCAAAGAGGCAAAATATAATATTTGACTGTAATTGAAGTTTTGCTTAGATTACCTTAAAGAAACATATGTTTTTCTTTCTTTCTTTATTTTCTGTAAATATACCTGGGAGTTGGAACTGAAATTGGAATATCATCAGAAATTGAGGCCCTCACAGAGTAGCATCAGGGCACTCCTGGTCCCATGAGTAGCCATCCATTCATTTCTGTCCAGGTGAGGCCAAGGATTATCTCTCAGCTTGGTTGATTTTATTAAGGTAATGTGCCCCATTCATTATTCTCTTGGGAGGCAACATTATCTCCTGTTAGAATTTCTCTAATATTAGCATATTATATAGGAAACATGTTTTCATTTACATATGCACATATCTGTTTCATATCCTTCACTTGTAAATTGGTTAATATATAAATTACCTAGAAATTCCCTGGCACATACTTAATGTTATAGAAATATTAGTGATTATTTTATATAAATAATTGCAAGCTTCCAGTTGTGTGGCTTTTTTTTTTCATCTTCTGCATTTCTATGTAAATTTTTCTTAAATTCAAATCAGACCACACCAAAGGCTCTTCTGTGTTTTACATACAAGATAAGCTTCAACTACCTTCTTAAGTTCCAAAGACCTTTATTTCCAGGCCAATGCCTAACTCTATGGCCTTACTAAGCACCATGTTGTTACCTTATCCCTAGCGTAAATTCTTTGAAGTTCCTTTGCATTTAGGTAGCTAATTCTGCCTACATGACTTTTCCTTTTTCTTTTCCTTCTGCTTGTGGACATTTCCATCCCACACCAGCCTTATTACCTAGGTAGGGTCTTTTTGTACAACATGTTTTGAAATATGTATACAAGGCCGGGCAAGATGGCTCATGCCTGTAATCCCAACACTTTACAAGGCTGAAACAGGCAGATCATCTGAGGTCAGGAGTTCCAGACTAGCCTGGCCAGCATAGTGAAACCATAAAATTACAAAAAAATTTAGCTGGGCATGGTGATGGGCACCTGTAATCCCAACTACTCAGGAGGGTGAGGCAGGAGAATGGCTTGAACCCAGGAGACTTAGGTTGCAGTGAGCTGGCATGGTGCCACTGCAGTCCAGCCTGGGCAACAGAGTGAGACTCCATCTCAAAAAAAAACAAAAAAGAAAGAAATACATATACAAAATGGAATGGCTAGATCAATTTATTTAATGTATTCATTATCTCACATGCTTATTTTTTTGTCATGAGAACACTTAAAATCTACTCTTAGTGATTTTTTGTTTGTTTGTTTTATAAGCCTTTTGATTCTTTTTATTGTTCTTCAAGTTCTGGGGTACATGTGCAGATCTTGCAGGATTGTTGCATAAGTACACACATGCCATGGTGGTTTGCTGTCTCCATCCCCCTGTCACCTACATTAGGCATTTCTCCCAGTGTTATCCCTTTCTAACCTCCCTGCCCCCTACTGTCCCTCCTCTAACCCCTCACTCCCCAACACCAGATGGGTGACATTCCCTCCCTGTGCCCATGTGTTCTCATTGTTCAATACCCAGCTATGAGTGAGGATATACAGTGGTTGGTTTTTTGTTCTTGTATCAGTTTGCTGAGAATGATGGTTTCCAGATTCATCAATGTCCCTACAAAAGACACAAACTCATTGTTTTTATCGGCTGCATAGTATTCCATGGTGTATATGTGCCACGTTTTCTTAAGTATTATACACTGTTATTAACTACAGTCACCAAGTTGTACCATAGATCTCTTGAACTTATCCCTCTTATCTAATTAAAACTGTGTGTTTTTGTATCACATCTTCCTGATATCTCCTTTTCTTTTTCTTTAATTTGGCTCTCATAATTTCTTTTCCAATTACCTTACATTGTATGCTCTTCAAGGTCAGGAACCACGTTTAGTTTTTCAACCTCAGTACTAGTTAAAGTATCTGACAAATAGTAGATGTTTGAATGAAAGTATGGAAGATATTAGTGCATGTAAAGCAATAAATTGTATAAGTTTTATTTTGGTACATTTATTACTATATTTTCTTTGTTTTCTATTGTCATAATATATTAAATATTGGCTGCCTTTGTCAGTTCTGGAGTTATACAGAATATATACTTTAAAAATATGAGTGTAAAATCTTTGCTTTATGTGAGATCATAGAAACAAATATAATTTCCTTGATCAACAGATGAGAAAATTAAGAATTAGGAATTGAGGGATTTGCCTGGAGAAACATTGGTAACAATGGCAGAAGAATCTCTAAAGGCTAGAACAACTCAAGCACAAGTTTAATAACGTTTCCATTATATTGAACTCTGTTTGTTTACTACAGGTCAGCACTCTGCAAATTACACAAAAATTTAGAGTAATGAAGCAATGAGAAACACAGATATTAACTTTGTCTGACAGCTAACTATTTTTTAACAAATATCCATTGAACACTTATACTGTGTCAAACATTTTATATATATATACTTCCTCAGTTGAGCAATTTAAGAGCCAGGCAAGCTAAGATTGATACTCTCTATTTTAGGCTTGAGAAAATTGAAGACAACAACTTCAATGAGAATTCATAAATATCCATGAAAAAATGACATTGAAACCAGGATGTTCTGTGTCAAGATCCAGCTTATATCAATGTTGAACTAAAACTAGCACATTATGCAAACAGAAGCTACTCTTCTTTCCCTATCCATCAGAAATCCACTTTGGGGAGCAAGTGGGAGAATGGGAATAAAGGATAACAGTAAAAACAAAATTTTTAAATGCATCATTTAATTTTTCTGGTAAAACTGAGCAACCCCACCAATGACTGTTCCAGGCACTCTTCTCCAATTGCTCTGAAATGCAGATATTTTATTCCCATCTCAGACCTGTAAAAATGGAATATTTAAACTCAATTCAGTGTCTTACTCCATTCTGGAACTCTCCAATCTGATGTGAATCAAGCACAAATCAAGAATTGGTTAAATTTCAAAAGGCAAGTCTGGATTTCAGGTGAAAGATACAAAATCAAGACAACAGAGGCTGGGCATGGTGGCAAGACAATAGAGGCTGGGCACAGTGACTCATGCCTATAATCCCAGCACTTTGAGAGGCCTAGGTGGGTGGATCGCCTGAGGTCAGGAGTTCAAGACCAGCCTGGGCAATATGGTGAAAGCCCCACTCTACTAAAAACACAAAATTAGCCGGGTGTGCTGGTGCATGCCTGGAGTCCTAGCTGTTTGGGAGGCTGAGGCAGGAGAATCACTTGAACCCAGGAGGCAGAGGTTGAAGTGAGCTGAGATCATGCCATTATATTCCAGCCTGGGTAACAAAAGCAAAACTCCATCTCAAAAAAAAAGCTAATAAAAAGGAGAGGGTAGGCTATGTTGAGAAGAAAACACAGAAGAGGAAGTTGCAAAGTGGAGAATAGAGACAAGACAGGAATAGTAAATTAAGTCTTTGTAGGAAAAAGTTTCAAATGGCAGATTCAGCAGGGATGAAGGAAACATGAAGTACTTTTGAAATCTGTCAAGACGAGGCAAAAGTAAAGTTAAAATGACAGTGAAAGCTGTGGATGTGCTGGATTCAGGAGTGACTGTGAGTGATGAATCAGGTAGTTAGTCCCATATTTCCAGTAATGATAATAATGTTTCAAATTGAAGTAGTGGTAGTGAAGAGAGAGGTAGTGAACAAATATTTGCTATACATGATATGTACCACAGTATAGATAAATCTGTGCTATCACTATATGTATCTTAATGTTTTTTTGTACCCAATGAAATAGGCTGGGCACAGTGTCTCATGCCTGTAATCCCAGCACATTGGGAGGCCAAGGCTAATGGATCACGAGGTCAGGAGATTGAGACCATCCTGGCTGACACAGTAAAACCCCCTCTCTACTAGAAATACAAAAAATTAGCCAGGTGTGGTGGCATGCACCTGTAATCCCAGCTACTCAGGAGGCTGAAGTAGGAGAATCACTTAAACCCAAGAGGCAGAGATTGTAGTGAGCCAATATCATGCCACTGCACTCCAGCCTGGATGACAGAGTGAGACTCCATCTTAAGAAGACAAGCAAACAAGCAAACAAAAAACACTGAAAATAGTGTAGAGGATACTCATTTGTTTCCTGTAATCACATAACAATATAGAATGGAATGCCATATGCATGGGGAGTTAAGTTATTCCTGCACAGAACCTGCCAAGCACGTGAATAAAGTTGCCAAACACATTTGAAAGTGTCAGATGGATGCTTTTGGAAAACTCTATGCACATTTATTTAAAAAACAATAGCTGCTGAGACACATAAGTCAAACCAATGTGTGTTTAAAAGTTTGGTAAACCTGCTTCAGATACCCTTTCTTTCATATAATATGCTTTTTAACAAAGCCAAACTTTGTCTAAATATTTCTCTCCCACATGATGTTAAAAGAAATGCCTTAGAACAAATCTAATTTAATTAAATTTAACAATTTCCTCCTTTCAGTCAGCCTTTCAATTTTGAGGACTTACACCCTTTCTGTCACCATCATAATAGACTTATTAGGTGTCGGTATGGAAGTCTCAATTAACAATGTCAAATTAGTTGGATGACTTTTTAACGCTTTCTTCATGTGTTATGTTTACCATAATGAGACCACTTGGTGTACAAAGGAAGGCTGCACACAAGCACTTAAGACTTAATCTTAAGGAGAAACATCAGAGAGACTATTATAATGTCTATCAGAAGGACAATACTAAGAAACTGAAGTGTACTCCTTAACAGAAGTATCTGCAAATGACAAATCAAAATCAGTTCTAAATTCAGGCAACAAAAATAGTTCAGCAGTCCAATGAGTCATAGTCTTTGTTCAGGGTATGATGGCAATTAAGTACCATGATTTGTAGTAAAATGGCCTTACTTACAAATATATTCATTTTTGTCTTTAGCCCAGTAATACAAGTCATAGTAACTTGGAGACTCACTATAAATATAGACACATTAGTAAGTAAATGAATAAGTAAATAAAGATTAGAAAACTTTGGGTAGGTCATGGGTGAGAGGAAACCTTGGAATAGTCAACCTTGCCATGCACCATTTAGGATGCCTTCAAACCAACTATTAGCTGCCCCCATAAATACATTATATGTTTCTTCCATCTGAGAAATTTCTTTAATGTATTTAATGGCAGTGTCTAGAGAACTAGGAGTAACAGCCACCTTTCTGATTAAGCTTTCTGTGGTAATAAAATCAGGGGAAAGATAAGTGCAACATTCCATTTCCTACTGCACCACACATGAGCCCCCAACATGGGAACAGAGGCACTCTAATGCATTAAGTGTTTTTATCGAACATAAATATTCTCAACCACCTTTTGGAGAGTAGCTTCTACCCATATGAGCCCCAGGGAGGTCTGATCCAATACTTTTCCCATTTTGCAAATTAGCTTTAAATTTCATACAGCAAGCACCTCACTACCACCCAAGAATCCCACTGGAACTTTTCTTCAGTAGAACCTAACATATGTTCATCTATTTTGAGGTTGGTACTAATTTCAGTCAATGACCACTTTGGCTTCTTATTATGAGAGGTCTTCCTGGGAACTTTGAATGAAAGCTATTCAGAAGGCAGGACTGAACCAGGCCAAATAGTAAAATCTGTATGAAGAAGGAGATAAAATAGAAATTTCTCTACAGACTCCATATAGCTCCTCAGAGGATGGAAAAGAAGGCTATCAAATGGTGTTTGAGCAGGGACTTTTCTAGTGGTTCTGTGAAGGTTCATGACCACACTTAGTGGAAAGGGAGCTTATGGGATTTAATAGATTAACATCATACAAACATGTTTTCTAGCCACTTAAGTAGTACCAAGGAATTGAGTGAACAATCCCTGAAAGTACAATATACCTTTTGTGGGCATCACTTGGATAGATTTTCTATATTTGGTAGCAATTAAGTTATTGATTAGAAAAGTCAGGGTATTATTTCCATTGCATGTAGGAAAGCAAATAATAGTGATGTCTAGAATATCAAGAGTCACTTTCCATTTTTCTTTTTGGTTTCAGGATGACTCACGTTAGGAACACAGAGACACATTGGCATTAGTAGAGTTGTTTTCTGATTTTGAGCAATAGTCCATAAACCCAATAATTTCTCTGGATTCTTGCCAGAGCATAAGCCTTTGCTACAGCAATCTGCAGATTATGTTCCTATGGATTGCTTTGTAAGAAAAAGGAAGGGACTCTGTATTAGTCTGGTTTCACATATGCTAATAAAGACATATCTGAGACTGGGAAATTTACAAAGAAAGGTTTAACTGGACTGACAGTTCCATGTGGCTGGGAAAGACTGAGAATCATGGCAGAAGGCAAGAAGGATCAAGTCCTGTCTCACATGGATGGCAGTAGGCAAAGAGAAAATGAGGAAGATGCCAAAATGGAAACTGCTGATAAAATCATCAGAGCTCATGAGATCTATTCACTACCATGAGAGAAGTATAGGGAAAACCAGCCCTAGGGTTCAGTCATCTCCCACCAGGTCTCTCCCATAACATGTGGGAATTATGAAAACATAATTCAAGATGATATTTGGGTGGGAACACAGAACCCAACTATATAATTCTACCCCCAAGTCCCTGCAAAATCTCATGTCTTCATATTTCAAAACCAATCATACCTTCCCAACAGTCCTCCAAAGTTTTAACTCATTTCAACATTAACTGAAAGTCCACAGTTCATCAAAATGATACTTGGGTGGGAACACAGAGCCAAATTATACATTAACTGAAAGTCCACAGTTCATCAAAATGATATTTGGGTGGGAACACAGAGCCAAATTATATCATATTCAAACAACAAAAAATAAGGGAAAAGTAAATTTTAAAAGATAAGACTTTTGTGACAGCAAAGCAATTTTGATTTAAATGAAATCAAAACACAGCATGAAAATCTGCCACATAATTCCCATGGTATTTAATTAATTCTTGTTCTGCTGAATATTAGGTGAGAAGCTCTATGAACCAGTTCATTTCTTCACTTGTGTTTTGAGAATTCTTACCTAATCTGATAGTATGATCTTAAATTTATCACAAACCTGTACTTGTGAGAGTCTTTTCCATGAATTTCCTTAAAGGTAAAACACTTTCAGCTTATAGTTGTTTGGGAAAGTACCAGATTAAATAATGAACTGTCTATGAATTACAAGACTTAAAATGGTCATAACTAAAGATCCAATAAGAGTTCATTAAAATAATGATGCACTTGACAAAGAAATATGATTTCTGTTAATAATCTTAAAATACTATTTTAAGATAATAACTAGAATTATCACTAATAGTGTTATACTAGGACTAATAGATTTATATGAATTTTATATAATTTATGAAACACATAGTAATGACACATCTCATTCTTAGAAATACAACTCAAAGAAGGTTTTAGCAGTGATATTTAACCATACTTTCCATATAACTTTTTCTTACTTTCAAAAAAAATTACAATAGCTTTTATGGTACAAGTGTTTTTTGGTTATGTAGATAAATTATATAGCAGTGGAGTCTGAGATTTTAGTGCATCCAACACTCATATAGTGTACATTTAGTTTAATGTATCAAATAAACTGAATTAGTTTAATATCTCTCCTTTTATAAAGAGAGGTATACTTTTGAGATGTTCCAAAGGTCCATCTGAAAAATCCAAAGTTAATTCAGGATCAAGTAAAAGATTTAATTTAGAACTTAATTTTAATAAGTTTGTTAAAGATACAAAAGATTGAAAACACTTGATCAAATAGCATCACAGGTAACTGTGAGCAATAGTAGAAAGTTCCATCGTTGTAGGAAAACTTTAGAGATGATGACTCCATTTTCTTATGTGATCAAAACTTAATAAAGACAACATGAAGCACAGAA